CTCGCTGCCTCTCACTCTCTCCCTTCAACTCCTTCTATTTCTCTCTTTCCCTCTCTCTCTCTCTCTCTCTCTCTCTGTCACGCACCCACTCTTATCGCCTCCCATTCTCCGTCATTTTGTTAACGATTCTCTCTTTCTCTCTATTCCCCCCCCCCTCTCTCTCTCTCTCTCTCTCTGCGAAGAAAGCTAGAGAGGATGAGACAAAAATTGAAGAGCGAGAGAGAGGAACATAAAGAAAGGAGAGAGAATGTGACTCGGCGAGAGTAAGATAAGAGAGAGAAAAAAAAGAGAGAGAGAGTGTAAGATACAGGGGAAGAGGCGGTTTACATACGCGTGTAATGGTAGTGTAAATTAAACTGACTTTTAGAATCCAGGAAACAATAATCTTCTTCAACTACTGCCTCAAATCTATCCTCGATTATATATATATGTATATACACATACATTTATATATATATATATATATATATATATATATATATATATATATAATATACATATTATATTATTTTTTTTTTAGTATCCAGAAGCCATGAGTTATTAACCCTTAGGCTCGGTATTATGGATATCGCAACCTTTTGGCCTTGATTCCATTTTAAATACCGTAAATCTGGAAGATAATGTGGCTTTTCTGCCCACCCCCGGGAGTGAACCCGTACCACAAGGAGTTCGTCACCCGCTCACCACGCAATCCGGTTTAGCCAATTACGCTAGAGAGACGGGCATACATATTATATATATATATATATATATATATATATATATATATAGGTATTTAAATAACACGGAAACTCTCGAACAGAAGTTCTCAACCTGCGGATTGCAGCCCTTTTTGGGTCGAACGACCCTCCACAGGGGTCGCCTAAGACCATCGGAAAACACATATTCAATTAAAATTATGAAGGAAAGTAATTGTTTGTGGGTCGCCACAACATGAGGGAACTGTATTAAAGGGTCACGCATTAGGAAGTTTGAGAGCCACTGGTCTAAAATACATGACGCCGTGTTAGATGGGGCTAGATTGAGCATTGCGCTGATGACTTGAATTCGATGAGAAGTAATAAGGAAAGTAAAGCAAAGGTCCCTTTTCCACGCCTTTCGGAGTATAGGGCACATAGGGCTAGGCCTATATTTTTTATAAACCAATCAGCACAAGATGGGTGATGTGGTCAGCATCATGCCGGCCGCCTTTACTTCCCGTGACTGCACCCGGTACCCACTCAAGGCTGGGTCGACCTGGGAGTCAGGGTCTTTTTTGAAAAAAGTCCGGTTCCGCTAGGGAGCGAACCCTCGAACCTCCAATCTGCACGCTAGCGTTTAGCCACTACAACACGGCAACTCCCTCGATCCTAAGGGGATGTAGAAATGCGTCCACTGTGTAGAAATGTGATGAGAAGGTAATAGAGGAGTTGCAATGAATTACAGCAGGCATATGGAGGATGTAGGGGATTTGTGAAAGTGATAGAAGCGATGAGGCGGCAACAGGAGCTCTGAGGGATGGGGCGGAAAAAGTGAGTGAAAGGTGGGGGCAATGTAGGAATAGAGGAAGTTATATTATTAATGACTGTTGGTAGGAGTTGTGACGGAGTAATATGAGTTATAAGGAAATGTTATGAGTTGTGGTGGAGTAGTATAAGCAGTGAGAAAAAGTTATGAGTTGTGACGGTGTATTGTAAGCAATGAGAGAGAGAGTTATGAGTTGTGACGGTGTATTATAAGCAATGAGATGAGTTGTGACGGTGTATTATAAGCAATGAGAGAGAGAGAGAGAGAGAGAGAGAGAGAGAGAGAGAGAGAGAGAGTTATGAGTTGTGACGGTGTATTATAAGCAATGAGAGAGAGAGAGAGTTATGAGTTGTGACGGTGTATTATAAGCAATGAGAGAGAGAGAGAGAGAGAGAGAGAGAGAGAGAGAGAGTTATGAGTTGTGACGGTGTATTATAAGCAATGAGAGAGAGAGAGAGTTATGAGTTGTGACGGTGTATTATAAGCAATGAGAGAGAGAGTTATGAGTTGTGACGGAGTATTATAAGCAATGAGAGAGGGTTATGAGTTGTGACGGAGTATTATAAATTATATGCAATGAGAGAGAGAGAGAGAGAGAGAGAGAGAGAGAGACTTATAAGTTGTCACGGAGTATCATAAGCAATGAGAGAGAGAGAGAGTATGAGTTGTGTCAGAGTGTTAGAAGCAATGAAAAAGAGAGGATTGCGAGTTGTGACAGAGTGGTATAAGCAATGAGAGAGAGACTTATAAGTTGTCACAGAGTATCATAGGCAATGTGTGAGAGAGAGAGAGAGAGAGAGAGAGAGAGAGAGAGAGAGTAATGAGATATGACAAAGTGTTATAAGCAACAAGAGCGGGTTATGCGACGTGACACAGTGTTATAAGCAATGAGAAAGGGTTATGAGTTGTGACGGAGTAATAAGCAATGAGAGAGAGAGAGTTATGAAATGTGACAGAGTGTTATAAGCAATGAGAGAGAGAGAGTTATGAAATGTGACAGAGTGTTATAAACAATGAGAGAGAGTTATGAGTTGTGACAGAGTGTTATAAGCAATGAGAGAGAGAGAGAGAGAGAGAGTTATGAGTTGTGACAGAGTGTTGTAAGCAATGAGAGAGAAAGTAATGAGATGTGACGGAGTATTATATGCAGGGAGAGAGGGTTATGAGCTGTGTCTGAGAGATACGTATAATAAGGGAGATATATCACTTATGAAAGTGTCATATGATTTGAGAAGGAAATATACGAGTTGTGGGGCAATGTTATGTACGAGTCGGAAGGGAGAACTAGCTGCAACAAGGGAGAGAATTTAATTTTCAATGAGAGATAACAGTAGTGGGAGAGTGATATCAGCAGTAGGTGATTGACATCAATTGTGAGGAAAGGGACATGAGTAGTGAGTTCAATAAGGGCAGTGAGCGGATTGGGGAAGCAGCGAGGGGTTGACTAGCAGAATGAGGAGATCTTCTTTGTCTTTTTCGCGTTCACCTGCTGTCAACTCTGGCGGAAAGTTGTGGTTGTATGTGCACTTATGAAGTTTGATCCTGTTCCAGCACTCAAGTTTTGCGTACACATTTGTTTGACATATTTGTCAGATTAATAAGTAAGTTGTTGGTGGCTCGTCTCACAGACAGATACACTCCGACTTCGAATGAAACAACACTAATTATCCCATTGTCCTACATGTTTTCTTACTGGAGGGGGTAGGGGTATATCCTCCATGCCATAATGTCAGACTGTCCAGCATCTGTTCTCTCGGTCTCCCTCCGCCTCTCCTCCTCTCCAACTTTTCTATCGTCACTATGTACTCCAGTTTTCTCCCTCTCATCACATAACAGAGAATGTAGAAGGAAGTACGCAGAATACACCAGATAAACATCCTTAACGGTTGCGTAAACACAAACAATGAAAGCTAGACCCGAACAAGAACACAGAGGAAAAGGAATGGATGAAAGTAACGTGGCAATAACTGGTGAAGTGTTTACAACTGCCAGGATTAGTAAGAAGGGAAGAGGGAAGGGTGAAGGCGGGGGCGCGTGCCTCGCTAATGTAAGCAACCTCGGTTTGTATACGTTACTTGGCTTCTGGTTGCCGAGGAAACAATATGGCTGCTGATCTTGTGTATGAATAATAGTGGTTAGGACTGACTTGACGAAGGCGGTGAGATTATAAATATAATAGTGTATGTTGGTGTGTGTGTGTGTGTGTACCTACCTATCTTTGTATCTACATACCTTTTACCTACCTACCTACCTACTTATTTAACTCCCTATGTACTTAACAATCTACCTACGTGCCTATTTGCAAATTTACCCACCCTTTTATCTATCAGCCTGACGACCTAACAGTGTGAGTCAAACTGTCTGCCTGTCTGTCTGTCTGTCTGTCTGTCTGTCTGTCTGTCTGTCTGTCTGTCTATTTGTCTATTTATTTAAATATCTGTCCGTCTGTTTGTCTCCCTGCCTGTCTGCCTGACTGTCTGCCTGCCTGTCTGTCTGTGATGTCAAATACATGCGTTTAAAAAAAATTATGTAATTGTACTGGCAATTTTCCCCACTATCAGCGTAACCGATGACATATGGCTTTGGAGGTGTACTTGTATAAACTAATCAACTCTCATCATCAATACGGCCGCCTTTACTTTCAGTGCACGTTTCATTACCAATTTCAGACTGTGTCTACCCAAGGGCTTTTGGTTAATTATGAAAAGTCCATTCGATGCATTTTTTAACGCAAGATCTAGTCGACTGTACGGAATCGTCTAGACAAGGCGGCATAGCAGCCCCGATTCTGCAGATGTGATAGGAAAAGAATGATACCGTACAAGCGAATATTAAAGAATGATACCATACAAACGGATATTAAAGAACGATTGCACACAAACGGAAATTAAAGAACGCTACTATACACACGGGGATTAAAGAATGTTACCACACAAATGGAGATTAAAGAATTTCACCATACAAACGGAGATTAAAGAATGTTACCATACAAACAGAGATTAAAGAATGTTACCATGCAAACAGAGATTAAAGAATGTTACCATACAGAGATTAAAGAATGTTACCACACAAATGGAGATTAAAGAATTTCACCATACAAACAGAGATTAAAGAATGTTACCATACAAACAGAGATTAAAGAATGTTACCATACAAACAGAGATTAAAGAATGTTACCACACAAATGGAGATTAAAGAATTTCACCATACAAACGGAGATTAAAGAATGTTACCATACAAACAGAGATAACAGAATGTTACCATGCAAACAGAGATAAAAGAATGTTACCATACAAACGGAGATTAAAGAACGATACCATACAGAGATTAGGACAAATACCAAACAAACGAAGATTAAGAAGAATACAATACAACGGAGATTAAGCAAAAATACAATACAAACGGAGATTATGGAAGAATACCATACAAACATAGATTAAGGAAAAGAATACCATACAAACGGAGATAGGGAAGAATACTATACAAACGAAGATTTAGAAAGAATATAATACAAACAGATTAATGAAGGATCTCATACAAACGGAGAGTAACTTACCAGGCAATGGCTTTTTCCTTCTAGAGAACAGATGGTAAGGGTAGGTGCAGGAGTTCTGGAGGAAATCGCTAAAGGCGTCCACGTCGACACTGCCGGACTCGTGCATGCTGGAAGTCATAGAGGCCTCCGATCCCAGTTTGCTGGTCTCCTCTGGGTTGGACATCCTTGAGGAGGATGATGATGATGACGAGGACAGCGTTGTCGATAATACACACGACGTCGCCAAAGGAGAAGATGTAACTGTTGTTGACGATGTTGAAGTTGTAATCCTGTCTTCTTTATATCCTTTGATCTTTTCTTTTGGGTCATGTGGTGTCTGTTTTGAATCACCAAATGCATCTTTTATTTTTCTGTACGGTCTTTCTTTGTCTACCTCTTTCGAAACGGGTTGCTCGGCTGCTACTTGTTCAAACCGTTGGGCTTTCTCTGAAACGGAGCCAAAGATGCCCTTTTTAACTTTAAAAATTGGAGGTTTAGGCTTAGGTTTGTCGTCTGGAACCGTAGGTTTAGACCAAAGTTTTAATGACTTCGCTGATTTTTGGTCTGGACTGATGATTTCTGAGCATTGACTCACTTTCGTGGACTGATTGTCTTGATGGGCTTTGGCAATAGGATGTGTTCTATGGAGTGATAGAGGGCGAATGGCTTGTTCATTTAGTGCTCTTTCTGAACTTGACAACTTTTTGCTTCCCATTTGAGACTGATCTTTAACAGCTTTATGGGGAAGTATGTTTTCTATTTCTTCGTAACTAGGCTCTCTTCTCTGCAAACTATAAATGGAGTTTGAAGGCGGGCATGGACTTGGAGATTTGGTTCTTGGTAAAGTGCACAGGCCCTGTACGCTTGGAGAAGAGTAGTAGGAGTGCTGTGCAGATGCTGAAGCAGCTGAAGACGGAGCTAAAGATGAGGATAAACTCTGAGGAGATGGTCGGTATGAAGAGCTGCTGGAGTAGTCAGAGGTCAAAGGGTGTGCAGCTTTAGGCAAGGCTGATCTAGACTGTAGGAAATTTGGGTTGTATTGCTCAACAAATGCTTTCGTTTCATGAAATGGGTGTGATGCAGACAGCTTTGAACGCGTTCGTGGACTGGTAAGATTGTCATAGTAAGTGTACATCTCAGATTGTCTGGACTCACTTTGGAGATTAGGGTCCGATCCTGAAAGCGGTTGTTCAAACTGGGACATGATAGCCGATGGGAGATGCGGTGTTGAGTAGTGGCCATGCAGACTCTGGAAGGCATCAGGGTATCTTTTGCCATTGCGTTCATTGGCCAGAGAGTTTATATAATCTGCCGTGCACTTTTCAGTAGGCGACATGGGCCGTGTAGACGACAGGTGGATACTACTGTCGCTTGAACTGGGTAAAGGAGTTATAATGTTGGAATACGGACCGCGATATGGAGACGATGAAACTGGCTGTGTGTAGTGAGGTACCTGATGTTGAGGCATCCCCAGTTCACGCCGTAGCTGCTGGTGGTAGTTCATAGTTGCTGTTAACCCGTGAGACCTTCTCTGTTGAGCAAGGTCTTTGTTGTCTTGTCTGTGACCTTTTGACCTTAGGTCAACAAAGTTGGTGTTGTCATAATTTGAAGACCCATCCGAAAATAATCTGTCATCAGAAGGGGAATCCAGATACGGGGACTGGTATTCTCTACCGTATGCTGGTATTTTTGAATCCGAGTGTGTTGACCCTGTAGTGTCAGAACTAGCTTCTTCAGTCAGATGGTGATGACTGATTGGACTTAAACTTTGACTTCGGTCATTCAATCTCTTTAAGATGTCACACTGCACGCGCAAAGGTCTGTCGTATACAACCGCGTTACAATGGCTATCAACCGGCGACCCGTACTCATCACGCGGTTGCCAATCATGATGCCGGTTAGGAGTTGAAGTATAAAATGGCATGTTACTCTGCGGAAAACAGGTATATTCATAAATATGATCGTCCTCGACAGTGTCGGTACTTGCCATGACATTTGACCAGTCGTTATCAGCATGGCTCCGTTCATAACGCGATGCTTCTTTCTCAGGTTCTCTAGTTGCAGTATACGAGGGTGGTGTTTCTGAAGTCCACACAGGCGAGACGATTTTCTGATGACTCGACACATCCCTGCTGTGTGTTCCGCGAAAATCTGGCTGTTGCCGCTGCTGTAAATCTCTGTCGAAATTATAACCGTATTGTCCTCTGCTGAATAAATGCTTGTCCCCAACAACACTACTAACTTGTGGGGGATTGCTATGCCCATAGTACCCACTTGGCTCTACTGATTTAGCTCTCTCATGTCCTTGACGTTTTGCTGTTTCTGTTTTCTGGTTGCTATAATAGAATTGCCCGGGTACTTCTGAAGACTTTGGTTTACAGTGCCCCACAAATTCGTGTCTTTCTTTGCCGTCTAAAGTTGCAGTTGACTTGCTTCCGTAGAACCTGCTATCCTTCGAAGTCTCCGCTGGTTTGGTATTATATCCAAAATGATCGGATGGTACATGAACTTCAGGTGTTCTGGGTTTGTTAAATCCATGATATCCAGACGGTTTATCATGTCCGCTATACCGAGCTGGAATCGAATCTGGAGGTTTGTTAAATCCAAAGTATCCGCCAGGCGTTTTGCAAATTTGACCCTGATTTGAGAAAGCTCGGCTGGTAGCTAGATTGTCATGTGGCCTCGTTTGAGGTTTATGAACAGCGTTGATCTGTGTTGTATACAGACTCAAATCATCATAAGGGTTGTGAACTAGAGGCGTTCTGTCTTCTTCGAAACTAAACACAGACGAAGGCCCGGAAGTGAGACTGTGGGGAAGGGCATGTCCTTTGGAAGAAGAGCTTGTCTGTGACGCTGGAGGTGTTGCTAAACTTTTGGCAATATCCGAAGGTCGCGGGATTGTTGAACTGTGTCCATCTTTGGCTTTGCTGGCATTTTTTCGAGTCTTTGACGAAAACATTATTCCACGCTTTGAATCCGACACATGCTAATTTTATTTCTTTACTGCCTCATGTTATGACAGCTACACGTAAAACAACCGATTACATATTTTAAGCGACCATGTCACTGAATATATCTATGAATTAAAATCGATACATTCTGTTTCAAATATTATTTTAATTTTGTATCTTTCTTAGTTCTCATAAATCAAATGTGTAGTGAGGTTTAGTAACGAAGGTAACAAAAAAATTCATCCAAATTGTCGTTCCATTGAGTGGCACTAACACGTAGAGTCCCATACTTCTATTCAGACAAAATAAATAGAAATAATGCGCATTATATTTTTAACACTGTTGAAATAATATTAACTTTCATTAAAGAAAAATATATATAGTTATTCGTGTAGTAAGTAAAGTAAGTAAAATATATACAATGTGGTGTTAGAGTTGTTCGTGTAGTAAGTAAAGTAAGTAACATATGTACAATGTGGTGATAGAGTTATTCGTGTAGTAAGTAAAGTAAGTAAAATATGTACAATGTGGTGTTAGAGTTATATGTGTAGTAAGTAAAGTAAGTAAAATATGTGCAATGTGGTGTCAGAGTTATTCGTGTAAGTGAAGTAGGTAGAATATGTACAATGTGGTGTTAGAGTTATATGTGTAGTAAGTAAAGTAAGTAAAATATGTACAATGTGGTGTTAGATTTATTCGTGTAGTAAGTAAAGTAAGTAAAATATGTGCAATGTGGTGTCAGAGTTATTCGTGTAGTAAGTAAAGATTTGTTAAAACTGGGGAAAATATATGCTAAACTCAAGCAACCTCCTGTCTAAAACACCTCTTAGGTAGGTAGGTTCTTTGCTGGAAAAAAAAATTGTCACGTTCAACCAACATCCCTGAAGGGGGAGCTTTAGATTTGTCACGATACGATCTCAGTGGTTCCAGAAGTTAGTACTTGTAATAAGTTCTTCTGGTTCTAAAGAGAGAGGATTATATTTACTCTGCCCTTTATCCTAATATTACTTTAAACCAAAGTGATTTAAATGTTACCAGTCCTTCTCCCAGACAAAGCCACTGCGCTTTGTTTAAAATTACCTAACACTACGTAATACAGCCCGCTGGTTCAGACTAGGGATGTGAGGTTGGATTCTCATGCCAGTGTCAGAATGTTATCTCCTGACCACACTGTAGAGGCCAGCGAACGGGCAACTTAGCATCACACCTGAGCTGGACCGTAGGTCATAAAAGATAACCTAACACGAGTTGAGCGGACTCTAGACATTGAGGCGACGAGAAGTTTAAAGTTTAACACGTCAGTGTAATTCTGGAGAGAACAGGTGTTTGGCAATTAGGAATGTTTTATCTTGGTCAAGGTCGTACTGTAGGCCGTTCACTGTGAGTGACAGGTCACTGGTTAGCCAAGTTGATCTGATAGTTACCTCAGAGGCGGGGCTTGAGCCATCATCTTGAGGGTTGGGTAAAACCCAGTAAAGGGAGGAGATTAATTTGGACAATAGATTGATACTTATACTGCAAGCATTGTAGATTTACCTCATAGTGCCGCCAGCAGGCCACAGACTCAGACCTACCGTGGAAAAGTATTTTCTGACTGGTTGAGTCGTGTTCGGCATGTGCTGGAAAGTTCCCAGCGCCCATGTGACGATCAGTCCATGAAAGAGACTACATTGTGTTAGACTCGGCCAGCTGGGAACGAGGTGGGGGCGAGAAGGAGAAACAAGCAGGGAAGAAGCTGGAAGAGGAGGAAGAGCTTGACAGTGCTCACGGCTGTCAGAGGTTCTATGAAACTTAAGTTATGTTCATAAATTGTTCATACTTTGTCACCTTCATCACACCACTCTAATCCCAGGTGCTGTTCTCGCGCTGAAACAACCCATTACTATCATAACTTTAGCTAGTCACTGTTTGTGTATACACAACAAACTGGGTATGTCAATTAACTGATTGTTAGAAAATAAAGCTGTATGTCAAGTTTTATACTACATCGTTTGTTAAATTCCAAATGAGTCTGTTCTTACACGTTTAACTAACTGTTAAGATAGAATACCATTTTGTGAGGGCTCAAATAATATGATAATAATTCTTTGATTATTAATAATAACACCGGGAGAAGGTAGATGACGGAGGAATCATTTGCCCTGTCTAATAATTCATTAAGTATAATGCTATAGACATCTAAAATTCCTTGCCTTCTCTTGTGGGTACCAAGTTCAGCTAATGTTAATGTACTTAACGAGCCAATATGGCTGTTTTCTTGGGTATCCAGGACTGTCGCGAGACGCCGCTTCAAGTAGACAAGATACTTTTGGCTGACGTACCACCCCTTTGTGACCCTTCTATTTTTCTCTTATACATGCGCCCAGTGACTTCATTTTCGTCATAAGACGCATTGAGAGATATCCCGTTTATAGCCTACGGTTGCTGTTTGGGGATTTTCTATTGTCCTATTTGTAATTCCCCTGAGCTTTCACGTATAAAAATATACGGCTAGCAAACTCGGCAACGTAGCGGGAAAATCCTGGCCAAACACCGGATCCCGCTGTGAGAGCAGACGGCCAGCCATTTTTTACTTCAGGTCAGCAAGCAGGAGTTAGAGCGGGCCGTTTTGGAAGAACTATCTTTCCCGCCGCCTAAAAACCCTAGCAACATGACCATATAGTTACATCTAAATCCAGGTGAGCACAGTAACTGTTAATTAAATCGTGATTTCAGTTTTCGGGCCGCATTTCGTGTACAATATTAGAATTGTACCAGTCCGAGGAAAAACCACGCTGACGCATTTCTGCACATGGGCAGGAAACCATCTCTTTATGATCTATTCCTGATTCCTATTGTTCGGTATCTAGGAGGTTACTTCTGTTTGCTGTATCTAAGACTCTTAAGAAATTATCTATCTTCTATTGCTGGTAGATGAATGATCTATGGCTGGTTATCAGAGTTTGTGTAGATAATGGTAACATCTCAATGGTAACATTTCATAGAAGACACTGTTCTTCATTGTTTATGCTCATACTTCTATAATTCATAATGTTTGCTTGTTGTAGAAGTGCTGAATTTTGTTTTCAGGGTATTGATGTATTATTCATGATGTTATTAATGTATTATTTTACTTATACACAGCAGTATTAAATGCTGTGATTTTGAGGACATGCTGTCCGAGAAAACTACCCACTGGGAAACTGTTTTTCTTAGCCTCACAAAAGAAGGATTCAACCAAAAAATAACCGCACAGTGGAATGTCTGGAAGAAGGAAAGGCAAGACCTTTTATCTAGAATTCTCAATATTTATAGAGAGAATTCTATAACATTCTGTCTGATTTTGTGTTGCATTTATAACTGCATATTGCTGTCTGAGTCTGTGAAAAAATGAGGAGTATTACACTATCATCCTGAAGGACAGAAGATGGAAGACATTCATCTGGACTGGACAGTAGTCAGAAGTGGAAGCTATGTAAATGACAATGCTACTAGACCATTATCCCACTTCTGACAATATGAAGAGAGAGGGGAGAGTGGGGAATATATTTTATTTTGCAAAACAGCAGGGACTATATATTTTTTGATTGTTTCCATCCCTAGCTGCTGAAAAGCCGAGGACAGATTCCTTGTTCCTTGTGGCAGGACGAGCTTCCAAACCACTGCCAGGCTGGTTGTAGCTAATGATTGGAGTGCCCTAAGGAAGATCTTGGTGCTTGGGACAGATCCGACATTCCACCTCAGTCTTTGAAATGGATGATCCTATGGGAAACTCCAGGTGGTAATTGTTGTATGTTATTTCCCACTGATCCTCTCATGACGACAGTTTCATGTTACTATCATTTTTATCTTTCATCCTACTTAGTTTGAATAATGTATTTTCAAAAGTAAATAGATGATTGAATTTTACTTTAATTTTAATAAACATTCCTATGATTGATTTAAACTCATAGTTAAAGTTTATTTCTATTTCTAGATGTATGTATGGTGTCAGTGCTGTCTACCAATATACATAGTCTAGATGGGGGCTTAATTTTATTACCAGAAAGGGAAATTGTCGGGAGGGGTAATCTGCTCTGTCTAAGTGTTTAGGCATCTAAATTCCCTTATCCCTTTTCTGGGGATATTCAGGCAGCTCACTTTCTTTAGCGAGCCAATTCGAGTCTGTATCTGAGTATCCAGGGACACTGTCTGCTCTTTGCACCAAAAGACAGTTGTCTCGGTTTCTACAAGATAACACCACTTTAGTGAGTGTAAAAGGAACCTGTTCCACGACAAGGACTTTATCTGAGAGCAACATAGCTCAGATTTTAGTTCAGTTAATCTGGTGGAAGGAATGTGTTGAGAGGAACATCCCTACTCAACATTATAAACATTTAGACCACCCGTCACGTCACAAGGTTATAATTGTGACTAGGTAAATGGCGCCATATTAAATATCTTAGGATTGCATGCCACCAAGAGCCCTGAAAAGGACTCCTGCAGAGCTGATGCGCTCAAAAGAGACGGACCTAAATACTGTCTAGACCGGCGACAAAGTCGTCTACCGGCGAGTCAGTAGGCAATCCGGTCGTCAATGTGTATGCTAAAACACATCACTTCGAAGTTGATTTTAAGCGGAAATATCAGGCTCATTTTGTCGTTGACACGTTGTAAACGCGAGTCGTAATTCCGTGGTTCAATCCGAGTTGTGGAGGATTTGACAGCAGACTGCCTTGCATTGGTGCCAACAATGCTATTAAAAGCAGACCTTTCAGTAAGTAGTGGCAAACTAATGAACGTCAAGTTGCTTAGTGAAATCACAAACAGTTAAAAAAAAAAAAAAACGGTTGCTACGGATGGTAATGCAACGTCCTGTAAGGGAGTGGTTCTCAAACGAGCCAGGGGTGCCGCGGCAAAAATCAATAATTTTTTGCAGACCTGCTTGAGATCAGCAAAGTCAGCAGTTTAAAACAGAAATACCACGAAGGAAGCCAAGAAGAGCTATGGATGCAGCTGTATTTAGAAAACAAAGCTATTGACAAGGCTG